CAGGCGGGCAGCGATGGCTGACCGGACTTTGAGCCGCAGACAAAATTAATCGCTATTAGGGCTAATCGTAGGTCCCGGGGCGGGGCCGTGCATGTGTTGCGGGGGGGTGGGTACCCGATCTACCTCCACCTGGAGAGTGGACGAAGGGAAACGTGAATCCGCGCAAACTTTTCCGAACTCGACCAGCCCCACCTTTGCCAATGGCGCGGAGGTGCACACAAAAGCTGCCCGCGTTTTCGCTACCTGTTCCAAATGGCACAAAAGACTTTATCAACCAGACGCGCGCCCAGAAAGCCACGGTTCCTGGTCCGCGGGATCGGGTGACTTCCCGGGACAAAGGCCGGCTTCGGTGGGAACCAGGCATCCGCAGAACCGAGGCCAGGGCGTCCCTGGGCGCCTGTGCGTTACAAATTGCGCATTTACTGTATTGTGCGGGGGCCCTTCTTTGCAGGGCCAGTGATAAATTATTACTGCAGACCCTTAAAAATTCCTGCAGTTTATAATCCTCCTTTCATTTGTGGGATTCTTAGTTGATCTTTCTCAGACCTAGGGGCCAAGTTAGCATCGTGGCTGGGCTGAGGCTGAAAGTTTTTTCCAAGAGCTGAGAGAAAAGTTGGTTCAAAGACGAAACCCTGGAGTCTCTGATACCCTTTAGCCCCCCAACTGCGGCCTGAGGGGGGAAGGTAACCAGCCACAGAAAAATAAAAAGGGCCGTATATTTAAATGACAGCATCTAACTATCGGTGCCTTTTTCTAAACAGTCGCATCCGCTGCCCTATTTAAGTCCTGTCTGAGCCCCTGGCTTGGGCTGCATGGGCAAGGCGGCATTTTTCTCTTCGGTTTAAGGATCTGAGGGTGGGGAACCCTCTTAACAACAGCTGAGTTTACTAGAGCCAATAAATGTCTGCTCTAAACGGCTTTAAAAAATAATGATGCCAAACAGACTGGATCTGAAGTTAAGTCCTTGTTTCAACACTTCAGGTTCTCTTTGTAACGACAATGACTTTATTGAACATGGGCGAACACCACCAAAAACAGGTCCTCGGAATTATAACTGTATTTGGCGTGACCCTGCCTATTTTCTTCCCCTTTTATCACTTTCCAGACACAAAGAGGCTGCTCCTTGTAGGTAAACGGAGCTCTGGAACAAATACATGGCCACGTTCTCAACAAAAGGCAGAGAAACTGCCTGAGAAGAGTTGGAGTTAGCACAGGCCACGTTGGTTTAGACTGAGCCCTTTATGAAAATGAACACTCCCCCCCCCCAGCAATATTCTTTGAGACAAGGAAATATTTCAAATATACAATGGCTATCAGCTTCAGGATATTTTCTATTTAGAATTACTTAGTTTTTTTTTTTAATCAAATCAATTCACAAGAAAAACTAGCACTTTTGAATATCAAGACTGAAATGCCAAATTTTTTGTTCTTCCTTAATCTTACAATTTTAAAACTTAAGTACATGGAACACTCCATCCAATTCCATTGGGTAGAAATGACTATATTGCACACTGGAAGCCAGTGGATTGAATATCGGCTGTAGCTACTGTTCCCCCTTCCCTGGAATAAATGATTTTTTTCCAATCCAGTGAATTTTGGGGCTTTCTCTTTTTTCTCTACTTCAATAAGCGTAAAAAACTTTAAAGAAACGTTTGAATAAAATAAGTGAAATCTCTTTTAGTGTGCTTATCTTTTTTTTAAAAAAAATCAATCTTTCACCATCCTGGATTTGGGTATTTAATTGTGCTTGAATTTGCAAGGGCTTTGGTGCAGTGTGAGGAAGGTTTCTCACAAAGACATGCACGCAGCCAGCAGAATTTGAATTCCTCTAGAAGTGTTGCTGAAAAGAAATTCACTTAGTGACACAGTCCCTCTCACCTGTCTTTCCAAGGGTTATCCTGGGGATTTCTTGTGTGCATGCGTGCATGTGCGTGTGCGTGTGCGTGTGTGTGTGTGTGTGTGTGTGTCTTTCGGGGACATTGAAGAGGCAGCTGGTTGCAGTGCTGCCTCGTGGCTTCAGGGAAGCCTCACCGTGTATTTTAACTACTTGCTGTCCACGAACTGTGAGCTCTTTACGGGAGGGGGCTGTTGACATACAGAATTCCAAGAGCAGCTCAGGGCTAAGCATTTGGTGTTTGAAAAACAGCCCAAGACGGTGCTTTAAGAGCCAGCCAGGGACAGCATGTATAGCTGCCCAGGATTGGGACAGAGGTTTCCATTTCTCTTTCCCCTTGTGTACGCCTTTGCTGAGAGAGCCTCCCTCTGGTTTGTTTTGG